CATACATACATACATACATACATACATACATACATACATACATACATACATACATACATACAAACGCATATGTACACACACTCACGCACACACACTGATAAGTTCCAGTTGCTTTTAAGCAAAAAAAGTCGATATTTAAGTATTTAACACGTTACACCAATTTTAAAGGATTCGAAGGTAGTGGAGTTGCGGAATTCTATTTCCTCACTACATACACACACATGCATATGTACACACATTCATGCATACACATTGATAAATTCGACCACAGTAACAATACTTGCCACACTTGTTTGCGGAGGGAGCTTGGCCGGTTATAATTGACAAAATTTTAGTCACTTTCTATATCTAATGTTTTGTGTTGAAATTTAGGATGCTTTTACGAGCAAAGTGGAAAAATTGGTGCAAACCTTGGTATTGGCCGAAAGATATGAAGCAGTTGGGCCAATTTGCCGCCTGGCTATTCCAGTTTATGAGGAACAAAAGAACTATCGAGTAAGCTGGTTTTGTGCGGGGCATTTCTCGAGCTTCTAACTTTTTCTTTTTTTTTTTGCAAATTTTGTTCCGAAAACTCTCCCTCGATTGGCTTTTCCATCAGGCATTGGTAAATATCTACGCCGAGCTACAGCAAGCGTTCAACTTGGCCGATCAGATGAAAACAAGCGGCAAAAGGCAGCTTGGAACCTACTTCAAAGTATTGTTCTATGGCCCCACACATTTCAAGTATGTCAGTTCATAATCGTTTTAACCATTTGTTGTGTTTCGCTGTCTTCCGAGATTGTTTTAAAGTTTTAGGCCTTCTTTTTCATTTGTCTGGTTCTCCCTTATTTCCCTCCCATAGTTGAATTTGTTTATTTTTTTGTTATTTTACATTTTACGTTAATTTTGACTGATAAGAAAAGTGCAATGGCAAGTATTGTTGCTGTGGTTTTAAAAACCGATGGACTGGTTTTGCTTAGTGGAACAACCGTTCTGTCCAGGGTGTGTTCATTCGTTTTGATAGTAAATTGGTACTTGCGCATGCGAAGGAATCAAAGTTTGCTATCAACTTTTTTTTGAGCAACGAAAAGGATCCATCGACAGCTTCTCAGCAGCTGCTTCCCCCCATACTGGGCTATTTTTGGCATTTTCCGTTTCCGTATTGAGTATAAAGGAGGCCTTGATTTTGATGTTGAACTTCTTAGTTTCGATTTTTCCCCTAAATTTTCTTTTCTCTTGAAGAAGCAGTAGCGTAGACTTAGTTACTTCTTTGTTGAAAAATTTTTTTTCCTTTGAAACTGGGCTTAGAGTTCAGTATTTGCTGAGATTTTTGCATAGTTTTT